GTATTGACAATAGGAAATTAGATTCTCTCCTTTTTGGGGAGAAGGAAGATTAGATCTAAGATATAAAGACATCTGAAAGAAAGAAAAACAAAGAGATAGAAAAGGTAGGAAAGAAAGGAAGGAAGGAAGGGAAGAAAAAGGGAGAGGGGAGCAGGAAGAGGGACTGGGAGAGAAAGAATCTCAGCATAAACAGTTTGGGTAGCATGATTGGTAACAACTAAAAACTGGAGACTAACCAAATGCCTGTCAACAACTGAAGAATAAAAACAAATTGTGGAAATCCACATAATGAAATATAACACAGGGAGGGAACTAAAACTGCACTCAACAAAGGGAATGAAATTCAAAGATGTAGTATTGAAAGGAGGAAGCCAGAGACCATTTGTACGATTTCAAAAGCAGGCAGAAATAACCTATGGTGTTAGAAGATAGGATCGTGGTTATTTCAGCGTCTAGGAAATGCAAAGGGGTTTTTGTGTTGTTAATCATTTTCTGGGTTTTGTCTATTTGCTTGTTTTTGTATATTTGTTTGATCTGGGTGGTGGTTGTAGAGGTGTGTTCATTTTGTGAAAGTTCACTGAGCTGCCCCTTAGATCTGTGTCCTTTTCTATATGCACAGACACACAATTTCAGGTAGCCAGTTGCATTAGTCAGTTATGAAGCAGTAAAAATCAATCTTTCAAAATTTCTGTGGCTTTCAACACAAACAGTTTTCTCTTTGTGGTATGCACAATTCTAAGACTGTCCCCATGGTCTGTATCCGTTGGTGTTACTCCTGTGATGATGTTACCTTACATGGCAAAGGGATTCTGCAGGTCCCACTGGGCTCCTTGCCCTCTGGTCCAGCCCCCACGTGTGCTCCTGTCTGCCTGTCCTGTCCTGCTTCTGTCCTGGCACTGGCTCTTCCTGCCCAGCTCCTTCCCACGCTGTCCATGGTCCCCAGGAGCGCCACGGGGACCCCCTTATGGAGACAGCGGTGCGCAGGCTCAAGTCCTGCTATCTTCCTTGGCACCTCCTCTGTATGAATCAGTTGACTTGAAGATAAGATTATCAAGGCAGACCTAACCTACTTGTTGCTCTTGTTCAGTTGCTCAGTCGTGTCCGACTCTTTGCAACACTAGGGACTGCAGTGCGCCAGGCTTCCCTGTCTTTCACCATCTCCTGGAGCTTGCTCAAATCATGTCCATTGGGTCAGTGATGCCATTTAACCATTTTGTTCTCTGTCATCACCTTCTCCTTCTGCCTTCAATCTTCCAAGGCATCAGGGTCTTTTCTAATGACTCAGCTCTTTGCATCAGGTGGTCAAAGTATTGGAGCTTCAGCTTTAGTATCAGTCCTTCCAATATATTCAGGATTGATTTCCTTTAGGATTGACTGGTTTGATCCCCTTACTACGTGAACCCTTTAAAAGCAGAGTGTTTTCTGGTCAGAGACTTGCCAGGGTGCAGATTCAATGTGCCATTACTGGCCCGAGGACAAAAGATGCCATACCAAAAAGGCCTGAGAAGAGCCCTTAGAAATTGAGGCCAAACCCTGGCCCACAGCCTGTAAGAAAACAGAACCTAAGTTCTATGATCATAAGGAGACAAGTTTGCCAATAACCAGTGAGCTTTGAAGAGAACTTCAAATCCTAGCTGAGAATAGCAGCTGACGCCTTGATCTCAGCCCAGTGAGATGCTGAGCAGAGTATCCAGGAGCACCGTGCCCACACATCTGACCTATAGAAACTGGGAGATGATACACTGTGGTTTTAAGGTGCTAAGTTTGTGTTAATTTGTTCGCAGCAACAGAAAATGAGTACACACTTACTCATATTTTGGCAGCTCTGTGTTGGCAGCTCCTAGAAACCACTTGGCTCTGCTCCAGGTGCCTTCACATTCTGGGACCCATGTTGAAGAAGGTTCTCTATTTGGGACATTCATATGACAGAGGGAGAACAGCAAGCAAGGCAGACAGAAACCCACGACACCTCTTAAAGTATGTAGTGTTCATCTTATCTGCTCACATTCCAATGGTCAAAGCAGGCCACATGGCCAGACCCAAAGGCAATGGGACAGGATGTATAATCTTCTTATAGGAAAGGTGAGATTGAATAATACTGAAAAACCATGCCATCTATCACTATGGAATGTTATAACTGTGGCCTAATTGGAAAGAGCAGAGTCTATGGGGTCAGAAAGGCCCCATATGAATCTTGGTACCACTACCTTACTGACTGTGTGACCATGAAGTTAGGACATTTCTCTGAGCCTTGGTCTCTTAAATGGCAAACACCTATATCTTACAGGATTGTTGTGAATGTTAAATGTACCAGTATGGTTCCTGATAGATACTCTAACATGTGTTGATAAATATTAGCCTTGGCCTCTTACCTTGGGGATTAACCAGAATATAATTCTTCCAAGGGGAGAAATCAGGGAAAGAAAACCACATCTAAACCCACCTCTTTTCCCACATTTTCCTAATAAACTAATTCAGAGTCCAAAATGTATAATTCCTTTATATACTGTATCTTTTGACTGTTGTAGTAACAAATGGCTTGGGCTTCCTTGACAGCTCGGATGGTAAAGAATCTGCCAGAAATGCAGGAGACCTAGGTTCAACCCCTGGGTCAGGAAGATACCCTGGAAAAGGGAATGGCTACCCACTGCATTTGTTATTTTCAAGAGTTGCCAGTATTCTTGCCTGGAGCATTCCATGGACAGAGGAACCTGGTGGCTAAAGTCCATTTGAAAAGAGTCGGACACAACTGAGCGACTAACGCTTTCTTCACTTTCATTCATTTTTTTCAGTAACAAATGGCTTAAAGGGAATATAATATTGCTCTTCTGAATGGGATAGTTGAATGCAATCAACATGTGAGGTTGGATTACTTTATAATTACCTTTCTAAATCGATGATTCACTTTAACACCTAATTTTGGCTTATGAATATGTTGTTATAAAGCCATAGTTACTACTGTTGGAAAACTGGCAAATGAGTAAATAATATTTTGTCCTCAGAATGTTCAGATTTTCTTTTTAACTTGTCTAGGTGGTTTTCAATAAATTTCAGGTTTCTAGTTCACAAATACTTCTTTTAAAGTAACTATTGTTATTTTTAAGCCCCAATCTATTATTTAGGGTTTTAACTCTTTTTTAATCACATATCTCTTTCTCTCTTATACACACACACACACAAAGAAGTTAGTACACTTTCTTCAGCAGAAGAAAAGAGTCAAGTCACTCAAAAACTTTTCAGATGGGGATTTCCCTGATTGTCCAGTGGTTAGGAATCCACCTGCAAATGCAGGGGACTTGAGTTTGATCCCTGGTCAGGGAACTAGATCCCACATGGGGTGAATCAACTGGGCCCATGTGCCACAGCTTCTGAGCCTGCACTCTGGAGCCCACAAGCTGCAACTACTGAAGCCTGCATGCCCAAAGGCCAACACTCTGCAACAAAAGAGGCCACCACAACGAGAAGCCTGTGCACTGCAACTAGGGAGTAGCCCCTGCTCACCACAACCAGAGAAAGTCAGCACAGAGCAATGAAGATCCAGTGCAGCCAAAAATAAATAAATAAATAAGCTTATCGGATGAAGATAACTACAGTCAACATTTTGGTGTGTAGTCTTCTAATTTTTTTTTCCTGAATAGATAATATATAGACTGCATGTGTGTGTGTGTATGTACATACACACATATATAGCATATGTTTGTATTTCTGTATGTCTACATACATTTCTCAAAAATGGAACTATATATTATACTTATTTTTAACCTGCTTTTTCATGTAGTTATATATATATATACCATGGCTACAGTCCATAGGGTGGCAAAGAGTCAGACAAGACTGAAGTGACTTAGCGCGTACACACACACACACACACACACACACACACATAACATTACTTTAATAATTTCATTTAATGATTTTATGTGTATTTTTCAGCTAGTATCTTATGATTGAATATTTAGGTTATTTGTGAATTTTCTATTATTTACTCTGAAAGTGAGTTTCCACTAGCCCATATACATGAATTATAGGAAGCCAGGGCAAAGGGTTGTTGGCCAGAGCACCCATCGATTTCAGCCCTGCTGATCAGATCCCATATATGGCAATCTGCTCTTAAATTTACAAATATATACTGGAAATGTTTTTTAAAAAAAATCAAAACAATAAACAGAATCCATCCCTCTCAGACTGGATGAGACTTTTCTTGAAATTTCAGCCATTTTGTGTTATCTTAACTCTTGTGTTATCAAGAGTTGCCAGACAGAGACTTCCTTGGTGGTTGAATGGTTAAGAACCCCCTTGCAAAAAAACCCAAGAACCCACCTTCCAATGCAGGCGACACGGGTTTGATCCCTGGTCAGGGAACAGAGATCCCGTATGCCACAGAGCCACAGCCCACGAGCCACAACCAGAGAGTCCGTACACCACAGCAAAAGGTCCTGAGTGATGCAAGTACAATTCCCCGTGCCACAACTAAGACCCAATGCAGCCAAATAAATAAATTAATAGAGTTGCCAGATGGTAGATAAGAGGACCAACATCCTGGTTTATTATCTGCTTTTTCCATGAGTTGTCCTTATTGAGCTGTTAATTTCTCCATGAAAGGGCATCAAAAACGATTAAAGTGCTATGATTTTAGGTCAGAGGTGAATTTAGTGCCCCATATCCACTGTCGTCTCAAAGATGCTCATGATTAAAGCACTCAGGTGATGTCTTTCCTTATTTATTGAAAACAAAAATGGAAAAAGAGAGCCTTGTGTTCTGATTCTTTTTTTGCTTCAGATCAAGAAAATAATTGCTTTTAAGTCCCTAAAAGAACTTGTAGTAATGACTCTTGAAAGCCCTGAATGGAGCCATTGTTATAGAAACATGACTGCCTTTATGGGTGAAACAATTACATTTTTATACCACATGGAATTAAATGGAAGTTTCTATCCGCCTCTGTTCAGAGCCCCCTTTGGAGAGAGTGGGAGCCAATAACCCAGGAGCTGGTGGACACTGACCTCTAGCCAGCCCGTCTGGTCCCAGCCTTCCGTTGTCTCTTCCTGGGCTCCAACTGGAGCTCTTCTGATGAATGCACTATTGTTGGTCTCTTCAGAGAGGAGCTGTGAAAGGAAAGGGAAGATTATTGGTAAGTGGGTAGGAAAATGTTCCAACAGAAGAATGAAATGAAGTAATTAGCTTCCTTCTCTATATAAGCACCAGCCTTGCTGCCAAATCTTCAGGCTGTAGCGAGTGAGGAAAACAATGACATTCCTGATGCAGGGAGAGTCACCTGCGGCCACTGACCAATCACAGGTAAGGCCACTCTCTTCTTTACCCTGGGGACAAGGCAGGGTGTGTTAGTGTGAGTTGCTCAGTCATGTCCAGCTCTTTGTGACCCCATGTACCATAACCCGCCAGACTCCTCTGTTCATGGGATTCTCGAGTCAAGAATACTGGAGTGGATTGCCATTTCCTTCTCCAAGAATGGCCCCCATTTTAAAAGATTTTAATAAGATGAGAACTATCCTAGGATAAATTCGCAGTCATCCCACCCCAGGGTGACATATGTATGTATATATATATATATATATATATATATGCGTTTTAATTCCATCATGGTTTATCACAGGATATTGAATATAGTTCCTTGTGCTATTCAGTAGGACCTTGATGTTTATCCATTCTATCCATAATAGCTTACATCTGCTAACCCCAGCTTCCCAGTCCATCACTTTCCCTCCCCTCTCCCCTTTGGCAGCCACAAATCTGTTCTCCATATCTATGAGTCTGTTTCTTTCTTGTGATAGATTTATTTGTGCCATGCTTTAGAATTAAAATGGGAACCATTCTTGAATGGAAGGACTATGTAAAATGACAAGCCCTAAAGGGAATAATTCTTTTTAACATGATATGACCTCTTAAAGGGCTTCTCTATGGCTCAGCTGGTAAAGAACCCACCTGTCAAGGCAGGAGACACAAGAGACGCAGGTTCCATCCCTGGGTTGAGAAGATACCGGGGAGAAGGGAATGGCTACCCACTCCAGTATTCTTGCCTGGAGAATTCCATGGACAGAGGAGCCTAGTAGGCTACAGTCCATGGGGTTGCAAAGAATCATACACAACTGAACAACTAACACTTATTTACTTGGTTTAACAGGCAGGGAATTTAAAAAAGTTATACACACTTATCTTAGATATTATAGTTTAACTAAGACATATATGAGCACATTCAGCAATAGTATAATAGAATAAAATGCCAAGGCCCTTCCTCTGATTGTCTGCTAATTAGAGTTGTATCATTTTTCTTATAAGAGCCACATCAAACTTCTGTTTCTTTAAATTGCAGCAAAAACAATTTGAGTGCAGAATCTTAAAGATATGTTTACAAACTTTTCCCAATCATGTCTGTTTCACCTTTCCTATACTGATTTGGATTATATTTTCAAGCCACTCACTCTCACCAAGTCTTTCCAAAGAATCTCAACTTAGTTTTCATAGGAACAACTCTCTTTTACACTCAAGGTTTCATTGGTTTACATAATATGTAATTAAATGCTGTAACGTAATGAACAGTACAAGTGCATTGATTGGCTTGCTGATAAAATACAACTGTTTCTTGGTAAAGATACAACGGAATTGATGGGACCAGGGCAATTCAGTGTGCCAGACCTCTACTAATCTCCAATGATGAGTATGAACGAAGAGTAGGAAGTGTTGTTAATGAGGTGATTTGGCTATTTGGGAATTGGATGATGTGAGCTAGAGCAACAGTAGGGCTTTCCAGGTGGTGCTAATGGTAAAGAACCCGCCTGCCAATGCAGAAGCTGCAGGAGACCTGGGTTTGATCCCTGGGTTGAGAAGATCCTCTGGAGGAGGGCATGGCAACCCACTCCAGTGTTCTTGCCTGGAGAATCCCACGGACAGAGGAGCCTGGCGGGCTACAGTCCATGGGGTCACAGAGTCAGACACAACTGAAGCGACTTAGAACTCGTCCAGAGCAACAGCAGTGGAAGAAGACAGGAGAGGACAAATTGAAATGACAGAAACTTTGGAAATAAACAGGCTTGAGTTCAAATTCTGACTTCATTGCTTAGCTGTGAACCTCAAAGTTTCTGCTTGCTTACATGTAAAATAAGAATAATGTGGTGCAGCGAAAGATTGGGAAAACACAGCTAATGTACTTAGCAGTGTGCCTAACACAAGTAAGTAATCAATATAATATTATCAGTAGAATTTTATGTTGAATTGAGGAAATTGAAGACTCAAAGATTCCCTATTTTCTACCCTGCCTAAATAAATGATAATAAGATTAAAAAGATAACACCACTAACTGAAATAGGAAAACCAAGAGGAGAAATAAGAGAAGAACTGAACATATTTTCAGGCTGAGGGGAGGGAATCAGTAGCAAGAGAAATTTTTTTTTTTAATTAGAAATCAAATGTGGTTTTCTCTATTGTATGAGATTGTGGGTGGTTTTTGCACTCATCTTTGTTCCTTTCTGTATCTTCCAAATTTTCTATATTGAGTGTATAAATACTGGGCTCAAAAAAAAGAAAAAGAAAAACATCATTTCCTTCAGCATGAGATGTGAAATGGGGGTAGTCTATGAGATAATGCTCCAGGAAAAGTGGAATGGGGTGGGATGGGGACACAGAGGGAGAAAAAAAACTTGGAAAGGAGAGAGAGAGATTTCTTTCACCGAGGCAAGAAAGAAAAGAGAATGAATGAAGGTTCAGAGAAGTTCTAAACTGCGGGTAAGAAAATTTGAGGAAAATCACATCCTTTGGCTTCTATATTTTAAAGTAAATTAAGAGCCAAGGTAGTTTGCTAAAACTGAGGAGGGAAGAAAGAACCAGAAATATGGAAAGAGTATCTGTTGCATGTTTCAGGAAACCCTAACACAGTGCTCTATAGTGACCTTAATGGGAAGGAAATCCAAAAAAAGGGTGGGGGTATATGTAACATAAAGCTAGTTCACTTTGCTGTGCAGTAGAAACTAATATATTACAATGAAACAAAGCAACTATACTCCAATAAAAATTAAATTTAAGAAAAAAATAAAAATACTGACAGCCGTTGAACTTATATAGGAAGGCAAGTGACAGGTGGGAAAGATACGTTGTAAGGAAGCTTGGGACCTAGGAGACCGAGGAGGCCAAGTTTGGGTTTCTTGAAAAGCCTATTTTCAACAGGAACTAATATGTATCTGTGGTTGCCATGGAGCTGAATAGAATAAGGAGGTCAAAAGATACTAATAATAATGTTTATAGTATATAACATTATTTATAGTATAATTAGAGGTTAAAAGATAATACTATTTAAGCCATTGTATGCTTTTCCTTTAATACATTTATATTTTTAAAGGGCTTTTAATGGCATTACTGAAACTACAATAAAGTGAAGGAAAGAAATAAGGAAAGAGTAAAAATGTTTTTAAAACTTAATATGAGGAACAGAAAAAGATTTAATTTGAAATTGATACAATATTCCCGAAGAGCCAGGAGGCCCAGCTGAGGTTGGAGAACATGCGTGCGTAGTGGTCAGTGGCTGAGTTATGTCTGGGGCTGCAGCTGACCATCTGGAAAGGGGAGTGGCAGGTAGAACTGGCCGGGCAGATGGGGCCAGAGAAGTGGGTGCGGACAGTTAAGAGAACCCTCACCCTCCCCAATCTGCCCTTCCTCCTCATCTGTCACAGACTGCCATGTCTTCTGTTGCTCCTCTCAGAAACCCTGGAATCATGCTAGCCTTCTCCTTCCGGAACCCCCACCTAAACAGTGCCCAGGTTCCGCCCATTCTGTCTCCTAACACTTCACCCGCCTTCCCCGTCACCGCGGCTGCACGGGCTGCTGTCCTCCCTCCCCGCTGCCTCGGCCTCTAACTGCTCGGCCATGTCTGCTCCTGCTTCCGCTCAGTTCCACTCTTCGCACTGTTCCGCTCTTTAAAAATCACGTCAGGAACTGTTTCACCCTTTCAAGACCCACAAAAAGCTTCTGGTTTCCCTTAGAATAAGGACCAAAGTTCCCAATATAGCTCGCCAGGTCCTCATGGTCTGGCTCTTATGACATCCCAGATTCACCTGGCAGAGACCGGCCCCCACAACCCTGCTCTCTGTTCTCTGGGCACAGGGGCCTTCTCTTTGCTCCTCAAAGACATAGAGACAAAAAGTGACCCACAAAGATAGAGATGGGGCGGAGCCTCATATGATCAGATGCTATGGACTTCCTAAGGAAGAGAGAAATAAATTGTGGAGCTTCCGAGGTGGCTCCATGGTAAAGAATGTGCTTGCCAATGCTGGAGACACAAGAGACCCAGGTTCAGTCCCCTGGTTGGGAAGATCCCTTGAAGTAGGAAGTGGCAACCCATTCCAGTATTCTTGCCTGGGAAATCCCATGGACAGAGGAGGCTGGCGGGTGACAGTCCATGGGGCCACAAAGAGTCAGACATGACTGAGTGACTAAAAGAAAATTAGGGTTAGGGTTAGGGTTAGGGTTAGGGTTAGCATAAGTACATAGCACAAATTAAATTTTAAATAACAAAGACTGAGCACTGACTCAAAAGGGTTAAATGATTTAAACTAGAGAGGAAATGGTGTTATATATTGATTGGCTTTCCCTTACACCCTCCACCCTGGTGCTTAAGGGGGCTTGTGGGGAAGCTCAGATCTGTTTTAGGGAATAACACCCATGCCACTTACAGACACAAGTTCCTCCAAGACAATTGTCTCTGAGCATATTCCCGGGATGTCCCAAAGGCATTTCCACCCCAGCAACCCCCTGTCTGCATCTATCCTCCACCCCATCCATCTCCAGAAGCTACGCCTGTACCTAGTACTACTGACCCGACCCTCCAGTCCTCTCTCAATCAGGCTCTCAGCTCGTCTGGATGTGGCATCTGCCCCCAGCCTAATTCCACCCCCCACCAGTCTGTCCTCCCATCCATTCTCCTCTCAGATGCTGGGCTGGTCCTTCTAAAATATCAATTTGACCATGTTGCTCTCAGGATGAAAAAAGAAAAAAAAAAGAAGAGGAAGTAGTAGAATGTAAGAAAAAATGTTGACATTGCTTCCAAAGAGTAGGGAGGGAAAAAGGGATGACTTCTGAAAGTACTGTGATTCCAGTAGGGTGATCAGAGGAAAGCCAAATTTTAGTTGGTTGTACTCTTAGTTTTTCGTTCATTTAATTAGATAATATCATAAGTTCAATATTTCTCTAAATACCTGTGAAAGGTCTGAGTCTCTGAAGATTATGCGTACCTGTTAGTACTAAAGGGCAGACTCTTTCTAAAATGAGCCACAGATTTCTGCAAAGCTTAATTTACCTTCCACAAAAAAAAATGTCAGAAAAGAAAAATCTCAGACCTTTTGTTTCACAAGAGTAGTATGACACTGAGGATGGTCACTGAAGGAAAAAAATTGGTTGAAACTCAGTAATGACTTCAAGTAAGATCACCAAATATGTGCAAGTGACATTCTCACATTTCCACACCAGGTGGGTGACTCAGCCCTTGTTCAGCAGGGCTGTAGGGACAAATCACTGCAGACTCAATATCACATTATACAAGCTGGATGATCAGGGTCCTCTTTTCTAGTGGGCGTGTGTGCATGCATACTCAGTTGCTTCAGGCATGTCTCTTTGCGACCCTATGGATTTTAGCCCACCAGTCTCCTCTGTTCATGGGATTCTCCGTCAAGAATACTAGAGTGGGTTGCCATGCCCTCTTCCAGGGGATCTTCCCCACCCAGGGATCGAAACCAGTCTCCTGTACTACAGGAGGATTCTTTACTGCTGGGCCCCCTGCGAAGCCCTTTCTAGGGGGCAGAAGGCTTAAAAGAACTGTGCTTCAAACAGCATGTTTGTTTAGCAAAGAGCCTTATTTGCAGGGAGCATAGGAAGGGAGCCTCTTTCTAATTTCTTCATGTAAATGCCAAAGCACTTTTCAAATGTTATGAGAGCATCCACTTGAACTGCTGTATTTGGACAAGTGAATGGTGCTTTTCAAGTAACTCCTCAAATCATGACCCCAGACCTGGTCAATAAAGGCATTCAGGAATTGTCTAGAGCCTCAAGCTACACATATCATTTGTCTAAGTGGATGTGTGACATTCTAGCCTGAGCCTAAACTGGGTTCAGATGTTCTGGATGTGTAAAAAGTGATATCCAGAAGCATCCTTTGGAGAACTCAGACCTATATTATTTTGAATTAAAAAATTTAATTGAAGTATAGTTGGCATACAATGTTATATTCGTTTCGAGTGCACAATGTAGTGATTCAAGATTTATATACTTTACAAATTGATCACAATGGTATTTGCACAATGGTGCAATCTGTCGCCACACAAAGTTATTACAATAGTATTGACCATATTCCCTTTGCTGTATATTATATCCCTATGACTTACTTATTTTACAACTAGAAGTTTGTACCTCTTGATTCCCCTCACCTATTCTGCCTAACCCTGGATCCCTTCCCCTCTGGTGATCACCAATTTGTTCTCTGTATATATGAGCCTGTTTCTAGTTTGCTGGTTGGTTTTGTTTCTTAGATTCTACCTTCTAGTGAAATTGTATGGTACTTGTCTTTCTCTGACTTATTTCATTTAGCATAATACCCTCTAGTACACTCATGTTATTGCAAATGGCAAGATTTCATTCTTCTTATGACTTAGTAATATTCATATATATATACTCAGTCTTCTTTATCCATTCATCCACTGATGAATACTTAGCTTGCTTCCATACCTTGCTTGTTGTCAATAATGTTGCAGTGAACACAGAGATGTATGTATTAATATCTTTTTAATCAGTGTTTTCATTTTCTTTGGATAAATACCCAGTAGTGAAATTGCTGTAATATGTGCAAGTTTTATTTTTTAACTTTTTGGAGACTCCTCCATACTGTTTCTAGAAACACATCTGCAGGTAGAATATAGGAATGGTTCTCAGTGCAGTTCGGTAGCTGTTAGCTGTCTTGTACTCACCATCACGAATCACAACTGGATGAAGGAGAGAGAGGAGTTGGACATGTGATTTGGCTTTTAAGACACATGACCCAGAGAGTTGAGGGGACATCCCCTCTCCTCTCACTCCAGACCTCCATTCATCGTTAGTGCTGCAAGAGAACTTTAATGGCATCTTCCCGTGTGAGATGGATGACTAGAGCCATGAAAAGCCACTTCATCCTCTGTCGTCCCCTTCTCCTCCTGCCCCCAATCCCTCCCAGCATCAGGGTCTTTTCCAATGAGTCAACTACATAGTTGTTTTTGGAAAATTACACCACTTCCTTTGTTTCTAGATCTTTCCTTTCAGACAAACTGACCATAGAGTATTAAATCTGAAACTGGACACTCAAGTCAAAGAATAATTGTTAGGACTTTAAGGATATAAACCTCAGCAGTAAAGACTCCATCTGCCAATGCAGGAGACGGTTTGATCTCTGGGTCAGGGAAATCCCCTGGAGAAGGAAATGGCAGTCCACTCCAGTATTCTTGCCTGGGAAATCCCATGAACAGAGGAGCCTGGTGGGCTAGTGTCCATGGTTGCAAAGAGTCAGACATGACTTAGCAACTGAAAAATGACAACAACAAATAAACCTTACATAAATTAGGATATATTTAAGGATATAAACCAGTTAAGCCAGGAAATAATAAACAGTCATTAGCTGAAGCATAGCAGTGTTAAGTCCTAGAAATTTTCTTTTAAAAACTTGATTGTCCAGAGCCACATTAATTGGTGCTTAAAAGTGATTAATCTCTTTATTTCCCCTCCAGTCATTTGAAACCTTCTATAAGATGCCCTAGTGGGAAAAGTGTAATATTTCAATGGAGACTTTACAAGGGCGTTAGTTTTGCAAGGTTTTAGAGTGCGATTGCATAGGTCTCAGCATCATAATTCAACAACCAGCCTCCTGCAAATCAGACGTTTTTATGCAGGTTCAGAAGCTATGCAGGACCGTGAACTCCAATACTGAAATTTCAGAGAGCAACTCTTTCATTTTCTTTTAAATGGAAAATAAACAGACTGCTATCTTCTTTATAAAGGAAATAAGTCCTGCCACTGCTTAGTCGCTCAGTCATGTCTAACTCTTTGTGACCCTACGGACTATAGCCCACCAGGCTCCTCTGTCCATGGGATTCTCCAGACAAAGATACTGAAGTGGGTTGCTATTCCCTCCTCCAGGGGAGCTTTCCAACCTAGGAACAGAACCCATGTCTCTTGTCTCCTGCAGTGGCAGACAGATTCTTTACCACTAGCACCACCTGGGAAGCCCGCTAGAGGCTGCAGCAACCCTAAACTCTGCTTTCTGCCTCCCAGGTGGATTCTGACAGCCCTGGAATTGGCACAGGTCTCCCTGGGTCAGGCCGACATCACTAAGGGCGCCAGTATCAGATTAATTACACTGCCCTCTGATCTGACTTGCTAAGAATAAAAATTTGATGGGTCCTTGATGAATTTCAAGCTATATGATTTACATCTAACGTGTGAGAACGCTTCACTCTACATCAAAACTGTATCATCAATTATCCATGTGAACCTTTGATGAAGAGAATGAACTTTTAAAACATGTTCAGATTGCATGGATGTGGTGCCTGAGTATTTACCTTTGCAAATAATCATTTATCAGTAAATGTAGCTTCACCACTTGTCCAGGTTTACCCAAGACTCTTCTAGCTTTAGACTGAGAATCCTGCAAATTGAGATGGTTGGTCACCCTAGGAAAATGAATCAATCTCTCCTGTTGG